GGGGGTCAAAGAGCCATCTGGGTGCCCTTCCTTGGGAGCCGGGGCTCTAGAGTAACAGGCCTGTCCTGTGCCATGACCACAAGGAGTGTAGACCAGGGGAGGCCAAAGATGCCCTCCTGGCAGTGCCGAGCTACCATTTTCTCAATAAAGAAACACCCACTTGCCAAGAAAGCATGGTACTAAGTTGCTTTTATGACCGTCACCAGCCTCCTAAATCCACTTTCTTAGGACCTATGTGTGGAATTCAGGCTCGTGTGCCTGTGAACCCTGATGGCATAGTGGTTACATGTTGCGCTGGTAACCACAGGTCAGCAGTTCGACACCACCAGCAGATCCACGGGAAACAGATGAGGCTTTCTCGTCTTTCCTAAAGATGGATGGTCCTGGAAACCTGCAGGACAGTTCTACTCTGGCCCACAGGGTCGCTGCGAGTGGGAATCAACTAGAAGGCTTGGGCTTATTTTTGGTGTAGGACATTTTTCGGACTCTGCCTCTTACTGAGAAGACTAGGTGGGAGGGGAGGAGCTCCCCCAAGCTTGATGGCAGGTTCTACATCCCCCAAGATGGAATTTCCTGAACGGACCTGCGCGGTTCTTTGATCGCTTGGATGCAACTTACAGATTCTGGCTCCTGCATCTTCCTGCTTTCTAGTCCACTCTCTTCCTTCCCTCCTAGGTTACAGCCTGCCCTGGGAGGACCCGAGTTTTCAGTATCCTGGGAACTTTGCCCGGCCCCTGGAGGTTGCCATTGAAGCCAGTAACGGGGCTTCTGACTACGGCAACAAGTTTGGAGAGCCGGTGTTGACAGGTGAGGCTGGGGGCTGCGGGGGTGGCCGTGATTCCTAGCACTGGAGTGGGCTTCCTGGCGGACCCAGGAGCTCTGGGTGACAGGATGCTGCCCTCCCTCTCTCCAGGCTTCTCTCGCTCCCTGGGCCTCCAGCTCCCTGACGGCCAGCGGCGGGAGTGGATTAAGCCCATCATGTTCAGTGGAGGCATTGGGGTCATGGAAGCCGAGCACGTGAGCAAGGATTCCCCTGAAACAGGTGAGCCTGCCAACGACGCAGCCAGCAGTCCGCAGGGCCAGGATTTAGGAGTCACCGCAACCCCTTGCTTAGTTTTTCCATCTCCTGGGACAGGGCTCTTGGCCAGCCAAACGGTCTTGGTCTTTGTCGCCTCCTTCTCATACAGAGCAAGGACCCACCTCACTCACACACCTGCGGTGCTTCTGGGTCACAACTTGGTACATCAGGTGCCTGCGGGGACCAGGGCCCGTGGCTTAAAGCTCACATCAATCAAGCAAACGTCGACAAGCCCTCAGTCTGCTCTGGGTGCTGTGTGAGAATGAAGATAAAGCCTCACTGCCATCGAGTCCGTTCTGGCTCACAACAGCCACTCTGTAGGCGAGGGGACAAGTGGCCCTCCGGGCTCCTAAGGGTGTCATCTTTACACCGGCAGACTGCTGCATCTTTCTCTCCCGGAGAGCAGTGCATTTGAACCACCGACCTCCCAGTCAGCCCAGGGTGGCCGGGCTCTTAGAGTCTCAGAAACCCCTCCTCGCCCACAGCCATGGAGTTGACTCTGACCCCCGAGGCTTTCTACTGAAGAGACTCACCGTCCAGGAAACCTGGGGGGCAGTTCAGCTCTGTCCCACAGGGCAGCCCTGGCGGCGTAGTGGCTACACATTGGTCAGCTGTTTGGAACCACCAGCTGCTCCTCCCTGGCAGAGTGAGATGAAATCCAGGTTCTGTTTATGGATACGTGGTGAGGGGGTTCAAATCCAAAGGACAAAGGCAATTACAATAGAGGAAAAATGTTCCCGTCCTTGTCCTCCCCTCCCCCGCAGCCACCGGGTCCCTGATGCACAACCCCATTGATTGCTTATTTTCCCTCCCGACCATGGGGTGTTCCCACTGTGGAGAAGCAAGCTTCTATGTCTGTGCCCTAGTTTTATAAGCAGATGGCATGTGTGCACACTTTTTAAAAACAACCACATATTGAGAGAAAGTTCACATACCACGAAGTCCATCTACTGCCTTTTTGAAATGTCAGGATAGATATACAGATATACATGATACATATATATCGGTTTTTCTTCATGTTTTCACTAAGTTGTGCATCAACCAGTCAATTCCAGAATGTCTTCGTCCACCCAAAAGAGAGCCCCGTGTCCACTGTTGTGAGGTGCCATCGAGCCAGTGCCAACCCATAGCGACTTTATGCTTATGCACAACGGAAAGAGACACGGCCGGGCCGGTCTGCCTCCTCCCCTCGGGTCACTCCCTCCCCTCCCCCAGTCCCTGGAAGCCATAGATCCGCCTGCCTTTCCTTTGCTTTCCCTGGCCTGCACATCTCGATGGAGTCACGCAAGGTGGTAACTCTTGTAACCGGCTTCCTCTGATGGCGTCCTGTAATATTTCCCCGTTTCGTCCATGGGGCGGAACTTCCTCTTTTCATGATGTACAGTGCTCCACTCTGCAGGTTAAGTCACATTTCGATTGGTCACTTCCTCCATCTGTAGCCAGACATTTGAGTTGTGACTCCCTGCGGCTATTCCGGATGATGCTCGTGTTCGGTCTGTGCGCAGAAGGGCGGCTCGGCTCAGAGCGATGGCGCACAGCCGCTGCACCGTCACTAGATTTCTCCAGCAGGGGGTGAGGGTTCCATTTCTCCATGTTCTTGCCGTCACTTGTCATCGTCCATCTTTTTATAGCCATCCCCTCTCACGTCCATTGAGTGGATTCTGAAACATAGTGACCCCAAAGGGCACAGGAGAACTGCCCCTGTGGGTTTCTGAGACTGAATCTTTCTCTAGCAATGGCTGGTGGTTTCAAACTGCTGACCTTGCAGTTAGCAGCCAGATGCATGACTCACTCAGCCAGGAGGGCCCGTTACATCCTCACATGGGTGCGAAATGGCACCTTATCCTGGCTTTGATTTTCTTTTCCCTGATGAGTAATGATGTCCAGCATCTTCTCATGTGCTTACTGGCCACTGCCCTTTCTAGATCTTTGGAGGGAAATGTCTATTCAGGTCGGTTGCCCATGTTTAATCGGATGGTCTTAGCCTTGAGTTGTAAGAGTTCATTATGTATTCTAGATATCAGTTCCTTATCCGATAGATGATTTACAGTGATTGTTACCATGCTGAAGACTGTCTTTTCCCTTGATGGTGGCCTTTGAAGCACAGCTTTTTAACGCTGGTAAAGTCCAATTGCTTCTTTTCTCTGGTTGCTTGCTACATCTTGGTGCCATTATCTAAGAAAACCATTGCCCACTCCAAAGCCACAAAGATTCACTCTAACATTTGTATCATTTTAGCTCTTACACTGAGGCTTCTGGCACATTTTGAATGAATGTTTAGGTAAGGTTTTAGCTGTTACACTGAGGCTTCTGGCACATTTTGAATGAAGGTTTAGGTCAGGTGTGAGGTAGGGTCCCATGTTCTCTTCATTTGCTGTGTGAATATCTAGTTGTTTTTGAATGGCTTCTGTTGAAAAGAATTTATTTCCTCCATTGAATGGCCTTGCGTTCTTGGAAAACCAGGTGACCATAGATGTTTGGGCTTGTTTCTGAGTTCTAACGTCTACTGGTCTCCGCGTCTTTCCTAAGCCACTACTAAAGGCCCCAGTGGCACAGCGGGCCAGGCATGGAGCTGGCAGAGAGACGAGGCTTTCTACTCCAAAAAGATTGGCAGTTTGGAAACCCACAGGAGCAGTTCGCCCCTGTCTTGTAGCGTCACTGTGCTGTAGTGAGCGGTGAGTTTGGCTGCTACCAGCAAGGGAAGTGGTTCACTTCTCAAGATAAAGACGAGGCTTTCTGTTCCCGTAAAGATTTACGCCTGGGAACCCACAGGGGTAGTTCTCCCCCGTCACGTGGGCTCTGTGTGAGTCAGCATCAGCTCCATGGCGTCAGGTAGATTAGGCGATGGGAAGAATGAAAGAAGGTAAAGGCAGAAAGTAGTCTCAAAGGTTTATTTCAGAGCCCCGGGGGTGAGGTTCACTGGTCCCTAATTAGGGCCAGAGAAGCCTCGCTGTCCGTGTGAGAGGGGAAGAGTTTTATAGCCCAGGTCTTGGGAGGGAGTAGCTGGGGAATTTCCCGCTGCAGTTTTGCTGGGACGAAGCAGCAGTGCTCAGTGTTACCTGCAACAGTTAGCCTCCTACATCTCCGAAGGGGAGGGGAGGCTTGGTGTTTGGCAACGTCCTTGGGGTGTTTTTCACTTGCCCAGGGCCTTTTTCCACTTGCTTGCCCACCAACTCCCATTTCTGCCTCATACATGGCATTGAGTTCCCTGATTGCTAGCATTTAAGGTATTTTCTGTCTTTTACTAACGAAAACAATGCTGCCATCTTTCAGACTCTTGCCATGGGTGAGTTTTGTACCTGTATGCATAAATCTACCCTTGAAGTATATGTTCCCAAGGCCTATGCAGCATATTTGCAGTTCGGATTGATGCTGTGAAATTGTGGAAGTTGGGCCATTGCACTCACTCGCCCATCAACCCAGTAAGGATGGTAGTGGCCCTCCCCACCCGAGAGGTGTAGCTTCCCTTGATCCTCACACTCCTCGGTGGTGGCTTCCAGTGTTCCAGTGCTGCCTTCCTTCCTCACAGGCATGGAGGTGGTGAAGGTCGGGGGCCCTGTCTATAGGATCGGAGTTGGGGGTGGAGCTGCTTCGTCTGTGCAGGTGAGCGGCAGGAACTGAAAACGGGGTAGAATGCTGGGCTCCAGTGGTGGGCCGCTGACACCGTCCTCAGCCTCACAGAGCCGAGCTCTGTGCCTTACGTCCCCCCAGGTGCAAGGAGACAACGCCAGTGCCCTGGACTTTGGCGCAGTGCAGCGGGGAGACCCAGAAATGGAACAGAAGATGAACCGAGTGATCCGGGCTTGCGTGGAGGCCCCCGGGGGGAACCCCATCTGCAGCCTCCACGACCAGGGGGCTGGTGGCAATGGTGAGGGAAGGGACTGGGGCAGGGTTGCCCTGGTGCCCTGCCGGGTTTGGTTTAGGGAGAGGTATGGAGGATTTGCAATTGCTTGCCCACCCAGCTCCGGGCCCCTTACTGCCCCCCTCCGGGTCCTGGGCAGGGGCAGCGTGGGACTGGGAGCTTTCCTCAGCGGGGTGACTGATGGTCATAAACCACGGAAAGGGCTCCTGTGAGGGCTGGGAGCTGTGCTTCGTGGGCCAGTCTCTGATGCTGGCCAGCTGACCACCTCCCACTGCAATCCCACCAGGCAATGTCCTGAAGGAGCTGAGTGACCCGGCGGGAGCCATCATTTACACCAGCCGCTTCCAGGTGCGCCTCATCCCCCGCGGTCGGGAACTTCCTACCTGGACCCCGCCCAGCAGGCCCCCCACCCATTCCCAGCCGCTTTCCAAGACGCATCCTGCTTCTCCTCCCCCCACGTGTGTGCAGCTTGGAGACCCGACCGTGAATGCCCTGGAAATCTGGGGGGCCGAGTATCAGGAGTCAAATGCACTGCTGCTGAGAGCCCCCCACCAAGACTTCCTGAATCAGATCAGTGCCCGAGAGCGCTGCCCGGCTTGCTTTGTGGGCACCGTCACGGGAGATAAGAGAGTGAGTGGGCCCAGGGGCCGGTTGGAGCTCTGGTTGGCAGGGGGTTGGGGTTGGGGTGGGGGTACAGGCTCCAGGGAGAACCTTGGAGGGAAAGCAGCGATCAGTGGGGGAAGGGATGGGGATGTTCACGGTGGGTGTGTTCTCTCTCTTCCCGCCCCCTTCGGGGCACAGATAGTGCTGGTGGATGACCGGGAATGTCCTGTGGGTACAAGCGGTGGTGGGGACACCCCCTCCTCGCCTCCCCCGACCCCTGTGGACCTGGAGCTGGAGTGGGTGTTGGGCAAGATGCCTCGGAAGGTGAACGGGGTGGCGGGAGGATGATTCTGCCCTCTCCGACCCCACCCTTGCCCCTACTCCTGCTTTGCTGCTTTGCTCCTTGTGCCCCGGTGCTCACCCGCCGGGTCCCCGTTTCTGTGTTGCAGGAGTTCTTCCTCCAGAGGCACACGCCCATGCTACGGCCGCTGGTCCTGCCCCCGAGGCTGAGCGTGCGCCTGGCACTGGACCGGGTGTTGCGTCTGCCGGCCGTGGCCAGCAAGCGCTACCTCACCAACAAGGTGCTCCGGCCGCACCGTGTGGACTGCTCAGAGGGAGATGGGGCGGGGCGCAGGGCACCTTGGGGTGGCACTCTTCCTCCATGCCAAGAGTGTGCTCCAGAGGGGGACGGGGTGGTGTGGAGGAGTATGTGCCACCCTGTCTCTTGTCCTCACGACCCCACCGGTTTTGTAGGTGGACCGCTCAGTGAGCGGCCTGGTGGCCCAGCAGCAGTGTGTCGGGCCGCTGCACACGCCTCTGGCAGATGTAGCCGTTGTGGCACTGAGCCACCAGGAACTCGTGGGGGCTGCCACGGCCCTGGGGGAGCAGCCGGTCAAGAGCCTGCTGGACCCCAAGGTCGCTGCCCGGCTGGCTGTGGCAGAGGCCCTCACCAACCTGGTGTTTGCGCCCGTCACGGACCTGCGGGTGAGCCCCTCAGCTCCAGCCCTTTGGGATGCTCCCGTGTTCACGCCCCTCCCACCCTTCTCCCCGACCCCAGCCTTCCAAGTCCTGTGCTCACGGGACCCGGAACATCTCCCCTCCCCTCCCCACCCCCAGGACGTGAAGTGCAGCGGCAACTGGATGTGGGCTGCCAAGCTCCCCGGGGAGGGCGCCGCGCTGGCCGATGCCTGTGCGGCTATGGTGGCAGTGATGGCGGCCCTGGGTGTGGCCGTAGACGGGGGCAAGGACTCGCTCAGCATGGCTGCCCGGGTGGGCGCTGAGACCGTGCGGGCTCCAGGTGAGGCCCGGCTGAGGGGGACGGGGCTGGAGCAGAGCCCGTGGTCCAACTGCCCTGCTCTGTCTTACTCCTGGCTCCGCAGGGTCCCTGGTCATCTCAGCCTATGCCGTGTGCCCCGACATCACAGCCACCGTGACCCCCGATCTCAAGCATCCTGGAGGAAGAGGTATGGTGTGCGCCTCCTCCCTGCACTGAGGATCCTGGAGGGCAGCCCCTGTGTGGTGTGCGAGCTGAGCGCTGGGGCCGCGTTGCTTCTGGGACCAGGGTGGGGGGTGAATTCCATCACCCACGCAGCCGCCCTGCCTGCCTAGGTCACCTGCTCTACGTGCCTCTGAGCCCTGGGCAGCACCGGCTGGGGGGCACGGCGCTGGCCCAGTGCTTCTCCCAGCTTGGGGACCAGCCTCCTGACCTGGACCTGCCCGAGAACCTGGTGCGTGCCTTCAACATCACCCAGCAGCTGTTGAAAGGTGCGGAAGGGGTGGCAGGCAGGGTGGGGTCGAGAACGCCGAGGTCCTTCCCTCTGGTACTCTGTGTCCACATTCTCTCTCGCTTCCTGACTACGTGCCCCTCCACAAGGCGGCTGGGTCTTGAAACGGCCGTGCCCTTTTTTTGTTCCCCCTCCAGACCGCTGCCTCCGCTCGGGCCACGACGTCAGTGACGGAGGCCTCGTCACCTGCCTGCTGGAGATGGCTTTTGCTGGGAATTGTGGGCTCGAGGTGGATGTGCCTGCCCCTGGGGTTGATGGTGAGCGCCCTTGGTCTAGGCTCAGGCTTGGGTTACCATCCCCCGTCTGCTTCTCCAGGCCTAGCACAACGTGCAGACCCTGCCTCCTGTTTGCCAGTGATATGTCCCCAGCCTGTCCCCTCAGCTCCCCGCTGCCCTCCCTGGTCAGTGCCCCGATGGCACCAGTGCCCCGATGGCACTGCTAGGATCCTGGCTGTGGCTTCTGGAGCAACACGCCTGGTCTCATTCTTTTAACCTTCACTCCACCTCAACCCTTCGCCTTGACCGTGTGCCTTCTGAACGCCCACCGACCCCGGAACCACTCTGACTCCCCGCTGCTCTCCCCTAGCTCTGTCTGTGCTGTTTGCTGAAGAGCCAGGCCTGGTGCTGGAGGTGCAGGAAGCAGACCTGGCCCGAGTGCTGGGTTGTTACCTGGATGCTGGCCTGCGCTGCCTGGAGCTAGGCCACACGGGCGATGCGGGACCCCACGCCATGGTGAGGGGGCGCCCGGTCGGGGGGAGAGATGTCGGAGGGGGGGAGGTGTGCAGGCCTTCTTTCTGCCAGCCGGGAAGCAGCAATGCATTGGGCCCCATTTCTCAGAACCCTGAATCCATTCACCTGCCTGCTAGGTCCGGGTGTCCGTGAACGGGTGTGTGGTTCTGGAGGATCCCGTGGGGCAGCTGCGAGCCCTCTGGGAGGAGACGAGTTTCCAGCTGGACCGTCTGCAGGCACAGCCGCGCTGTGTGGCAGAGGAGGAAAAGGGGCTGAGGGAGCGGACAGGCCCGAGATACTGTCTGCCCGCCACCTTTCCCAAAGTCTCCGTGCCCCGGGAGCCTGGTGAGAGCATGTGTGGCTCCCTGGGGTCTGGAGCCAAAGCTTCTCCTAGAAAATGTTCCCGGGGCGGGGGTGGGGGGGGGTGGCCTCTGGCTCACACACATTCTCCCCTTCCAGGTGGCCCTGCCCCCCGAGTGGCTATCCTGCGGGAGGAGGGCAGTAACGGAGACCGGGAGATGGCCGATGCCTTCCATTTGGCCGGGTTTGAGGTGAGCAGGGTGGCTGAGCAGAGCTGGGGCCACACTCAAGCCCTGGGCTTTGTCCCCTGCCTGACACGCCGCCTTCCCGCCCTGCCAGGTGTGGGATGTGACCATGCAGGATCTCTGCTCTGGGGCCATTGGACTGGACACATTCCGGGGTGTGGCCTTCGTGGGCGGCTTCAGCTACGCAGATGTGCTGGGCTCTGCCAAAGGTCAGCTCCCAGGCTCCTTCCCGCCCTCCCTCCCTGCTTCCGAGCTGGCAAACCGGAGAGCGTAGGAGCCTTTGTCCTGGGCCGGACACCACCAGAGGGCCTGCAAGTGGGGGGCGCGGGCAGGGTGCAGGTGACCCTGTTTTTCTCCACAGCTCCAGGGCTTTGTAGAAATCTGAAATTTAGCCTTAGCCATCTGTCCCTGGGTAACACACAGTTAAGCCCTCTAGCCGACCCACCCCGAGGCACCTTGCAAGACCAGTTTGTGATGGTCACCTTCCGAAAGGTCAAGGCCTTGACAGCCCTGTGACACAGTTCGACTCTGACACTCCAGCAGTTGCCGTGAGTCAGAAGTCACTCCGCATCAGTTGTCAGCAGTCCGAGTGACTGCTGGACAATGGAAGACAGGTGTTGGAAGTATTCTGCTGGCCAAATGAGACCCTGCCTGTGGGCCAGCTCTGCCCCCCACCCAGGGGGGACTGCTGACTGAGTTGAACACACTCATGGCTCCCCTGTGCTTGCCCTGAGCTGGGCAAGATGTGGGTGCTGGGAGAGCAGCCATCCTGCCCTTCCCTGGGTCTGAACTTCCCTTTTCTCCCCCCAGGGTGGGCGGCTGCCATTACCTTTCATCCAAAGGCCGGGCCAGAGCTGTGGCGCTTCCGGAACCGACCAGACTCCTTCAGCCTGGGGGTGTGCAACGGCTGCCAGCTGTTGGCTTTGCTGGGCTGGGTCGGGAGCGACCCCAACAAAGAGGTCAAGGCCATGGGCTTTGATCCCAAGCCCGTCCAGCCAGGCCTCCTGCTGCGCTACAACCTGTCCGGGCGCTTTGAGTCTCGCTGGGCCAGCGTGCGTGTGGGGCCGGGGCCGGCCGTGATGTTGCGAGGGATGGAGGGCGCTGTGCTGCCTGTGTGGAGCGCCCATGGGGAAGGTCAGGGTCCAACCGGAGGGGGGGGGACCTGGGGGAGGTGTGTGTGGCGGGGGAAGCTCGGAGGTGCTTGACTCTCACATCGCCCCCCCTTTCCAGGTTACATGACATTTTCTCCTCCGGAACTCCGAGAGCAAATCGAGGTCAGGGGGCTGGCTCCGCTGCACTGGGCTGATGATGATGGGAACCCCACCGAGCAATACCCCCTGAATCCCAACGGCTCCCCAGGCGGCGTGGCTGGTGTCTGCTCCCCTGATGGCCGCCACCTGGCGCTCATGCCCCACCCCGAGCGGGCTGTGCGGCCCTGGCAGTGGGCATGGCGGCCCCCTCCGTTTGACGCTCTGAGCACCTCCCCCTGGCTGCAGCTCTTCATCAACGCCAGGAACTGGACACTGGAAGGAGGCTACTGAGCAGGCTGGGGCAGCTCGCCCGGGGCTCCTGTTTGTCCCCAGGGCGTCCGCTGCGCTCTCCCCAGTCACCCACAGCAGCCCGCTGTCCGTTTCCAACACTCTTCTAGAGATGGGACTAAAATGTCAAAGAGCGATGCTAATTTCCCAGTCTGCCCGTTTCTGCCTATTTCCAGCTGCCCCACTTGGACATGTGGTGCCCTTACGTGGGCCCAGGAAGCAGCCGGCGGTTCAGAGATGCAGTGGGGGGGTCACCTCATTGGCCCTACTTCACCTTTCACTACCGCAAGCCTCCTGCCTCTCATTCAGGCCCGGGAGGATGTTTGATCCCCTGTTGTCTTCACTGGAGTTTATGGGATGATAGGGCAGCTCCTCGGGACCTCGGTGTTCTCCGCTCCCCCCTCCCCCCCAATGAGAGGAACTTTCTGGGTTTCTCTGTGAGCTTCTGGGCAGTGCTCGGCCCTGACCTCTGAACATAGCAGTCCTGTTTTACTTCTGGTTTAGCAGTTTCCTTTCTGACTAGGTGGTCAGCACCCTCCTGCCTTGATCTGAGCCTTAGCATATGTGACTACGACCTCCGACCTCTGCCTTCACAAAACATGGCCACTGCCGCCGGCGAGTCGACAGCCTCATTGAATTTAAACGAGCCGATGTGTGTCAGGCATTGTGTGTGTCTGAACTCCCTGCAGTTCAGTAGGGTCAACAACAGCCCTTTCTACCCAGGGAGACCCCAAACCAAACCCCCGCTATCAGTCGTCCAGCGCCACACAGTGTCAGAGCCAAACTTTGCATTGGGGACTGGCTCCCGAGGCCATCGCTTACCCATGGTGGCCTCCCAGCACCATCTGTCCCGTGTCCCAGGAGCAAGGTCATGAGGATTTCCCACACTTGTCTCTTGTCCGCCCTGGGCCGTGGCTTCCTTTCTTTGCTTGTGTGTAGCGGTCACTTCCTTGTGACTGCTCTGTTACGGATGGGAGACAGTTTGCCTTTGAATGTGTTTGTTTCATTTTGATCAAATGATTTTAGTTATTTTTTTTTAGATATAATCGCCTCAATAAAATTCACCCTTTTCAGGGAGGGTAGAGGGAGAGTGGGTAGGAAAGAGGGAACCGATAACAAGGAACTATATGTGACCTCCTCCCTAGGGGATGGGCAACAGAAAAGTGGGTGAAGGGAGACGTCGGACAGGGCAAGATATGACAAAATAACAATTTATAAACTATCGAAGGGCTCATGAGGGAGGGGGGAGCGGGGAGGGAGGGGAAAAATGAGGACCTAATGCCGGGGGTTTAAGTGGAGAGAGGAAATGTTTTGATAATGATGAGGGCAATGAATGTACAAGTGCGCTTGACACAATTGATGTGTGTATGGATTGTGATAAGAATTGTATGAGCCCCTAATAAAATGATTTTTAAAAAAAATTCACCCTTTTAAAGAGTTCAATTAAAAACAAACAAAAAGTTCAATTCAGAATGATCACAGTGTTGTGCAACGTCACCACCCTTCATTTCTGGTGTGTAACGCCCCCCCATACACATGAACGAGCTGTCATTCCCAGTCTCCCTCTCCCTAGTCCTGGTGTTAGCCGTCTGTAAGTCAACTCTGACTCAGTGACCCTCCAGGACAGTGTAGAACCACCCTAGGCTGCATCTCGGGGGAGCTCACCCTGTCTTCTAATGTAGGTCAATGTCTTGGTTAGAGCAGTCTCAGGTCCTTGTGGAGGTAGGGCTAAGCATTGTGCTTCTATGAGGGGGTGAAACTAACAGTGAAACCCAAATTATAGCGATTGAGGTCCCCAGGGGGTGCCAACAACCAACAGCAGGAGACTGTCCCCCCAGAGGGACCTCTGAAGCCCATACCTCATGATCTGCTTCGAACAAAATCAGCCACGCGGAATTTTGTGGAGCAAAGTTCTCTGACATCTAGAGAATTGCCTACCGTGAGTTGGAATGAAGGCTCTGACGACCTTTTCTTTCTTTTAAAATCATGGCTGTGGAGGGAATAGCATTTCAGGTTGGATTCTCGTTCCTTTGCAAGTCAATCCGCTCTCTGCAGGGACACCCACTCAATGCCATCAAGTGAGGGCTGACGGACAGGACAGCAGCCCTCCAGGACGGGTGGATCTGCCCCGGGGATTCCCAGACTCCTAACTCTGGATAGAGTCCGAAGCCTGTCTCTCCACGGGGCAGCTGGCCGCTTGGCAATGCTGACGTGCTTGCAGCCCAACCAACGGGTTACCAAATCTGAGCCTTTCCTCCTGACCCGGGGAGGCAAATGTATCAGTGTTTTAAATTTGTAGCTCATTTCAAATGTACGGTCTGGGTAGGTACTAAGGCTTTGCTGTGTAAGTGGGATTGTGTGAGAGGTAGACTGAGGTGGATAAATAAGGCCCTTTGCTGCAGTTTGGAAATGGAACCAGTTCTGGTTGGGAACTTCAATCCGATCCAGCAAGACCCACCCTCCCCAGACAAGACCAAGTACCCTCTTCCTCTCACCCCCGATTTCATCCAGCACACCCACAGGTCAGTGCTTCCTGGCTCCTGACCCCTGCTGTCACGTCCCTCCTGCCCCTTCCCCAAGGCCTTTTGCCAAATTCCCATACTGCTTCACTCTGCTCCTCCTTTTCATGGTAAGACGAGGGTAAGTCGAACAACTTTGATTAAAACCGTAAAAAAATGAAGCTCTGGCTCCTCACCACACCCTCCATCTTAGTCACACTTCTGAATGGCGTTTCCGTCCCCCGACCCCGACCCCAGAGATTCTTTTTCAATTTACTCAAAATAGTAGCTGGGGCACCCTCCAGGGCACCCTCAGGCTTGGAGGGTGGATGGAAGTTTTCCCAATGAAATCCTCAGGATAAACCCTGCTGCCTTCAAAGAAAGCAAGGCCCCCCCCCCTTTTATTTTAAAAATCATTTTATTGGGGCCTCGTACAGCTCTTAGCACAATCCACACATCCTAGCCCAGTGCACCTTTGCCCCCTCTTCCCCACATCCTAGCCCAGTGTCTACCCCTATTAGGTCCTTGCATGTGGAGCAAATTCGTAAACAGAAATTAGTGAATGTCACTGCTGAGTGAACTAAGTCAATAACAAAATAACAAATATTGTATGACCTTGTTCATAAGAAATACTATTGGGGGGAGCGGGGAGGGAGGGGGGAAATGAGCTGATACCAAGGGCTCAAGTAGAAAGAAAACATTTTGAGAATGATGATGGGAACAAATGTGCAAATGTGCTCGACACAATGGATGGATGGATGGATGGATTGTGATAGGAATTGTATGAGCCCCCAGTAAAATGATTTTAAAAATAAAAGAAATAGCTATTCGTGATGACCAGGGGCAGGAGGGACAGGGAAAGGAAGAGTCATTGTGCCGGAAACGGTTTCTATGTTGCTGGGAAATGTGGGGATGGATATTGGTGATGGCGACACAACATGGTTAATGTAATTGATGTCACTTAACTGTACACATGGAAAATGTTAAATTGGCAAATGTATTTTATACAGGTATGTTTTACAACCATTGGGAAATTAAAATTTGGAGACGCCCGGATACTCCCTTCCACCCCCATTAATGGAAGAGTGTGTGGTGACTTTGCTTTGCTCCGAAACACACCTCTTCTCGCCTCGTTTCTCCAGCCGTTTGAGAGTTCTTGTTGTGGGTTCAAATGGAGGACGTGGCCTCTGCGCATGTGCACACACTGGTGGTGCCAGACAGGATGTGGAAAGACAGGGAGGACCAGTGAGTCTTTTCTTTCTTAACACCTGCCTGGCAGCCAATTAAAAAAAAAAACCCAAAAAACTAAACATGTTGCCTTTGAGTTGATTGACTCTTAGTGACCTTATAAGAAATGGAACTGCCCCCTATAGTTTTCCACGTTGTAATCTTTCTGGAAACGGATTACCTTGTTTTTCTCCAGAGGAGGTTTTGGCAGCCAAGTCCCTTACCTGTGCCACTGTTTTGTGGAAACGAGACGCAGCACTGAACTGGGCGCGTTACTGCCCCCTCTGGGAGCACACAACGTACTGCGGGGAGCACCTCTAACCAGGAGTGGCAGCGAGACAGCAGGTAGGGGTCTGGGCACCGAGAGGGAGGGATATGTGCAAGAGGACCAAGATGGGACCACCTGGGGAGGGACACTCTCGTGAGAGACTCCCCAGTCAGGTTACCTTTTCTAACAGTTAACCTCATCCCTGGGACTGCTGCCGGGAACCTGCCCCTGGTCCAAGACTATCAGAGGGGCAGAGAGTGGCAGGAAGGAGGTGGGTGTTGGGTGATGTGCATCTCCTGGAGGAGGATGACTTCACCAGCAGCTGAGCCTGCAGCGTATCCCCACACCCACCACCATCGAGTAAGATTTCAGAAACGAAATGCTTATGGGAGCAGGGAACCTCCTCTGCCTCCCATCGAGCCGCCGGGGAGTTTGAACCACTGACCTTGCAGTTAAGAAGTCCAGCACCTCGCCCCAAATACAACCAGGGCACCAGTGGCCTCCAAACCAAACCAACCCCCCTGCCATTGAGTCAACTCCAACCCAGAGAGACCCTCCAGGACAGGGTGAACCGGCAGGGCCTCTGTGGGTTTTCGAGACTGTAGCCCTTGACAGGCGTAGAAAGCCTCATCTTTCTCCAGAAGAGCAGCCGGTGGTTTTGAACTGCTAACCTTGTGGTTATCAGCCCCACCAGAGATGGGTAAGCCTTATTTCCTGGGTCCCGGGCCCCCTGGTGGAAATCAAAGGATTCTGGACTGTGTCATTGGACACTTGGGGGCAGCAAATAGCTGGACGGTGGAAACAGTGGAGCCAGCCAGGCCTTGGGGACCCCCCATGTCTGGTTCAGAAAAGCCCTTCTGTGAGCCATCCAGGAGGAGTGCCTGCTACTTGGGGCCACTCTCTGCGGAGGAGGACTAAGTTTGTGTGCGGCTTCGACCTGGCTGAGTTAAAGGGACAGCTTCTGGCCACAGAAAGGGACAAACCAGCCTAAGCGGAGCCCACTGTCAGGAGCAGCTCTTGAAGTACAGGGCGGGGGGAGACAGACACGAGTGATTTCAGGAAAATGTGCATCTCGGGGAAGCTCAGGGTACTATCAGAGCCCACTGCACAGGACGCAGCCCAGCCTGTCAGGATCAGAGAGGGATTCCTGGAGAAGCCTGAATGGGAAGGACGATGTTACAGACCGAACTGTGTCATTCCCTCCCCCACCCCACCCCCAAATGTATGGAATTCTTGGCTCCTTTACTGGTAGAAGGAACCCCCACTGGGCTGTTAACCACAAAGGCAGGAGTTCGTATCCACCTGCCTCTCTGAGGGAGAAAGAGGAGGCTTTCTACTGCTGGAGAGATTCTGTTTCAGACACTCACAGGGGTGTCCTGCTCACAGGGTGTTTGTTGGACTTGTAGATGTGATTTTGGGGAGGGAGCAAGGTTTTTAATGTCCTCCTCCCCTTTCCCACCAGTGCAGGGTGAATCATAAAAAACGGAAATCATCTGAGTTAACAAGGAACAGCACAGCCATAGACCCACACGCATCGGGAAGACAGACACCAGGAAGAGACGGAGCTCTGGAGACTCCAGATGAGAAAAGACCTCCCCCAGAGTTCTGACCCCACACCGCCCCAGTGGAGAAACTAATGTCCTGCTCTCTAAAGCTACCCTCTGAGATTTTTTTTTAAAGTTGTATTGCATACACTTCACATAGCATACGATTTAATCACCCAGTCATACTAACAAGATTTGTGTGATCACCACAATCAATTTCAGAACATTTTCTTCTCGTCCTCATTGTTGGCAGCTCCCCATTTCTCCCATCCTCTCCTGCCGTGCCCCCAGGGCCTTGTGACAGTTTTGGTTAAAGCAGCGCTAGGTGATGTGGTGACGTGAAATTTCTACCTCGTTCTCTCCCATCCATGGCTCAGCGGAGCCCGAGTGGTGTAGGGGTTACAAATTGGGCTGTTAACCACAAAGTCAGCAGTTTGAAACCACAGCCCCTCCAAAGGAAGATGAGGCTCACTACTCCTGGTCCCCTGAAGAGTGACAGTCTCAGGAAGGCACGTGGGTGGGTGGGGTGGGCAGTTCTACCCTGTCCTATGCTTGTTATGAGTTGGCATCAACTGGATGGCAATGAGTTTGATCCTGT